ATTTATTTTTGCAGTCATCACATTGATGAAAGTTCCAACAAACACAAAGTTCCAGGTGTGCTTAAATTTTGTTTATTGTTTATGCTAGTAAAGTGATTTGACTCATTTTACTTTTTCTTTTCCAGATTTACAAATATGCTCTATATGGTAGATTTCAGAGAACGGTGCTGATAATGTGTTTGTAAAATTGCAAACAGATGAACAGACAAAATCTGATGGTGCTGTGGTAGCTACTGGTAAGAAGGAGAAGGAGAAGAGGAAGGAGAAGAAACTTGATGACAGTTACAATGATGCTAAAGACACTCAATCTGAAAAGAAGATAATAGATGATTTAGCACCTGATTTAAATGTGAAATCTAACCAAGGAAAGAAAAGAAATAAGATTCCTAGTTATCCTGATCGGGCAGAACAAGTCCATGCAGACACACAGAATGAACCTGCAGACAAGCCTGCTAAGAAACGCAAAGACAAAAAGAAGAAAACTAACTTGGATGCCAAATCTCTTAATAATGTGGAGCATCACAAATCATTAGAATTGACAAATGAACAAAAATTGAAAGATATAGTATCCTCTGAGAAGAGAGTGGCAAATTCCGAGGTGGAAGATAAATTTAGAGCTAAGAAGAAGAAGAAAGACAAGCTTTCCAAAGGCTTATCCGAAGGCGATCAAGAGGAGCTTAAGAAAGAAAAAGCAAGTCAAACAGAGTCCAAAAAGGATGATAAAAGAACTTCAGAGGAGGATGCATATAACAAGGTTTCCAAGAAAAGAAAAAGGTTGGATTCTGAAAATAATGATGCTCGGCCAGATAACAACAAAGAAGGTGAAGAACTGAAACGTAGAAAGAAAGATTTTTCAGATGAACCTGACAGAACTGGGCAATCTGTAAAACTAAAGGCATCTGCTGAGACTGAAAAACAAGGTGTCAATGAGATTCAGGAAACACCTATAGGACAACCTGATGGGCAGGCAAATGGGAATTTGGTGAAGAACGAAGCTGAATCAGCCCTGGAAAAATCAGGGAAGGGGAAGCAGAGTGGTCGAAAAGAGGTAATGTTCCTCTTTAATAGATTGAACATACATCTTTAATCAATTCCCCATCCATGTGTCCATTTATTTATTTTGCAATTTGGACTAGTGCTAATGTATGCTCATTTCGCAGCCACCAAAGCCTTTCCAAAGGGTAAACATTGAGGATGTGATTTTTGTTGATGAGAGGCTTCAAGATAATTCATATTGGGCAAAGGTTTATAGGCTTCAAGTTCTCACGTTCTTATTCTATTTTTAACTTTGTCTACCATTTCTATGTTGCATCTAGTTCAAACAAATTATATTCTCATTCAATTCCAAAATCTTAGTTAGTTGATATGTGAAAAATATCATTATAACTTACAGGTTTGACACTCAACTAAATTAAGTTTCCTTCTGTCGTAAGTTTTATATCATGGATTTTATATTCTCCCCGGCCAAGAAAGGAATAAAACAAATGTCTAATTTGAATTGAACCTGAAAATATCTTTAAATTAGATTATTGTTCTCATTCAAATTTTATAGTATTAATTATTTCCGTTCCTAAAGCGTAATTTCTTTGATACTCAATTTTTTCTTCCTTTGCAGGGTGGTGCAGAGAGTGGCTATGGTGCTAAGGCACAAGAGGTTCTCGGACAAGTTAGAGGAAGGTACATTTTGCATTTTTATGTTTATACGAACTGATCTTTTTCGAAGCTGGACAGCTTGACTTTTTAATATTTTTTTAGAGGGTGAAAAAAGGGGTTGGGTTGCGATTTGGAGGGTGAGATAACAAGCACGAGTCAGAAAGTAGCATTTGTTAGCATTATATTACAACACCGAACAAACATATGGTACAAACAATAACGAGACTATTTGTGTGCATTCTCCATGACGCCATGTTAGAAAAAGCTTGTCTCAAATTCAATAGTTACTGGAGAATTGACATGTTTCTATCCAGTATCAAGTTTTTTAGCTATCAAGCTTAGGATATACATTTTCATGGTAACTTGTTCTGTATCAAGCGCAAATAAATTATCGGGTAGAAATAAACTTCTACAGTAAACAAGCACAGCCCAAGTGAGTTATGGGACTCAGCATGTAGGGTGAAATAAACTTCTATTATTATGACTGATGAACTTCTTTTTTTTTTGTTGTTCTTGTGCATTCTAAATTTGTTTCAGAGGTTTTCGGCACGAGAAGACAAAGAAGAAACGAGGAACATATAGAGGAGGGCAGATTGATATGCAATCCCACTCGATAAAGTTCGACGTGTCCGATGATGAATAATTCTGGTAAATCATTTTTGCTGGGTGAGGAATTCAGTTTTGTGTTTGATTGTAAGAGAACGGCGGATTGCTTTGCTGATTCTTTTTGTTGCGGTGACAACTCACCTTTATATATCAAGAACATAGAGTTTTTAATCTGATCCATTTTTTGCTTTTTTATATAATCTCACTCGAAATTAGGAAAAAATTAATGAAATATATAAATTACAATATTAATTAATGAGAAATTTAACTTAAATAAATCCATTATTAGAAGATAACTGGGCACTCGTTGAGTTGACGAGTACTTTTGCGGCCAACTCAGTTGGGCTGAGACATAAGCTACTAAAGAAGTTCGGCCCAACATGTCATCTGCCAACCTGAGATGACACGAAACCAATTTGTCTTTTTATCATCTACCAATATGTGTGTGTATTTATTAGGGTGATTATGGT